CCCTGTTAAAAACAAAACTCTATCGATGTGCTACACAACACTGAGGCACCAAACGCCACAATCGGAATACAAATACCGCATACAGTGGGCAAAAAAATGTGTACAATCCCCAACTGACAAACAATGGCTGACATCACTTCAAGCCCTGAAAGGTCTCACGACCTGTTATTCACATGTTGAAGCTCATAGAAAACTCATCTACAGGTGGTACTACACACCTGATAGACTCCACAAAATATACCCCCAGACAACACCTGTATGTTGGAGATGCAACACCCATAAAGGTACGATGACCCACATATGGTGGGAATGCCCGGATATAAAGCCACTATGGGCAGAAACGCAGAAAATGTGGGAGCAATTGAATACCCAACTCTCCCCTCTCAGCCCCCAACTGAGCCTATTTCTCCTACTCCCCAATACATTACCCACTGCTGATAAGCATCTAGTGGTGATATCACTGTTAGCTACAAGGAATGTGATAGCGTGTCATTGGAAACAAACTGGTTGCCCACCTATCCCATTACTCTGGCATAAGACAACACAATTTCTAAAATACGAAAAACAATCAGCCACAACTCCCAAACAAATCTCCACATTGCACCTGAATTGGCAGAGATGGAAAGAACTAAACCTGGGGTCTGAGACCGGCAACACCGTACCTCGCAATTAGATAAAACATGAATGAGGGATGAAGCAACAGAGTAACAGACTTTCAACGATAACATGTACTATCACAGGTCAATCGATAGCGTTTACATGGAATTGTTCCTAGGATGTAAATAGTTTCTTGTAACTTAAACGAAGGACACACGACAGGTACTAGGGTCCTCATAGTGTCTAGTGTCTTACCTACTTTGGTAGAACATCGCTAAGTATACTAAGGTATCGTTAGGAATATAACTACCAATAATTAATCATTAAAGCGAGTAATAAGGGCATACACGGACTACTGACAATGCACTGAGGAACATAGTTACTAAGAAATACCACACCATGGGATAATCTCCCCACAACACTCAGACACGGTATCTTATTAGAAGGCAGCACCTCCACCTACCAAAAAGATGTTAGCTTCCCATTAAAAGTAAATGCACACAACTACTCACTGTCTGTTGCTACTTGACAGCAATTTGATAAAAATATTGGTACTTGGAAACGTATGATGTGTAGCGTACAACAATGGCGGAAATTTAACAATATTTAGTAACGTTCCGCTAACAACCGGTACGTAATATCCTAACTGTAATTGATGACTTCCTCGAGAGATCAAAACCACAGCGCATAATATGTATATCCTATAAATATGAATGTATATATCTCTCTGTGAATATGTATCTCTGTGAACCTGTTAATATGTAGATACTGCTATTTGTAGGCTTCCCCCTCCCTTTTTTTCCTTTCTGTACCCCATATATATAAAACCTTAATAAAATTCAAGTTGAAAAAAAAAATAGAATACCAGGCAATTATCCAGATATATTAGCTTCTGTAATTTAGAAATAGTGAATCTTAATTAACGAAGTTAAAATTCTGCAAACGTAAAATCTGGTTGGAATTATTCTTATTGGATGGACATAGGAATGGTGAATGATTTGGTATGAGGAATATTGTATTTGTAAAATTGCAATATAATCGGATATCTTGCCTATGAGAATTGTAGCCAGCAGTGAAAGAGTTAATTCAGTGTGATTTGACTGTCAGCCAAAGTTTGTATAGCTTTACCCTGTGCTGCTGTGAGATGCTGTGTTCTGTGTTAAGTTGATTTCAAAGTGAAGTGTCCTATTGTAAATCTTGTTGAAAACTGCACACATGTCAATATAACTGTTGCTAGATGAACTATAAATTGGGTTAAACCACTGCCATATTGTATTCTTATGTTATACCTAAATACTCACTGATATTATCACGCATGTTACATATTATTAATATTATTGTCACGATAAATTATATTTTTATAATTAATTTGTGGTTAATGAGTGAAATTAAATCTACTAATGAAACTTACTCGAGGATCTATGAGAATTAAAATAGTGGGTAATTCTCAGCTTGAAATCATTAATTGGGGAAAAGTGCCAAGATATCAATTTTGATATAATAAAAAGGATTACATAAATTTTTTAAAATTATGAAAATCTTTTTTTAATATTTATCACCCCATAAATATCTTCACAATGTTGTTAGAAGGGGAGAGCATGCAAAGGCTGTTGGCAAGAGAAATGCAGGTTTCACAAGCTGTTTTTAGATATACCCCAATTGAAAAATGTAAATGCATGCATGTTTTCATTTAGGGCATATGTACTAAACAGTGATTTTTATTTTATATTTGGGCAGGGGAGTAACCCATTAATTAGCAGTTTAACTTCCAGTTTATTGATGTGAAATCCGTCTAATTTTTATCAGCTATTACGGATCTCTCCTTTGCAATATAGAAGTATTGTGCAGCCGTGCATGGACAGTCCGGAGGATCGCTACGCAAATGGCAAACTGTGCTGTGTATAAACTGACAGCAGCCACGTCATGGCTGATATCAACCGAGAGGTTCTACTCATTCTCTGTGATGATTGGAAGCATGGCTGGGCATTAAACCACTTATCCCACAATGTATAAACATGGAGTGCTCCTTTAAGGTGCAATATTCCCTTTCTATTAATAGTGTTTTATAAAAAGACAAAAGACAGACTATAAGCAGAGCGTGCCGCGTTTAATGCCTCCACTTACTTTAAAAACAATACTAAGACGTTTGAAATAATATCCTCATTCTCGTTAGCCTTCTAGCGATCCCTGAGATGTGTGGCCACAATCTGGAAATCTTGCCAACAGGGATACGATCTAAGTATTTTTACCAGCTTCCAATACATCCTGGGGTCTCGATGAGATGACCGTGTTGCTAACAGAAAATGTGTCTGATTAAAATTTCTAGTGAAATCGACACTTTTATAAACGGTCACAGATGTGACAGATACGCAAGCTGAAGTGCTTTATGTGCGTGGAGTGTCCCATTCACAGTCGATTATCACACGTTTCTAAATTACTCACACGGTTAGTCACTAAAATGTGGCTTGTCAGGAATTCCAAGTGAATTCAAATTTTAGGGTAGAATACCAGAATTGGAAAGAATTTTCCAAATCAGGTATGTTTTCAGTTTGGTTAAATTGGTATTAATGTAAAATTCTCTCTGAATTCACATTCAGGTTTTTTTTTTTTTTTAATTAAAAAATTGAGAATTGCTGTGAATTCAAAGTAAATTTAAAGTAAGCTTCAAAAATAACCGAAATATACAAATTCTCAAAGTCAGTTCTGTTTTCGGGCCTCAAATTTCGAATTCACTTTGAATTCTGTGTTCTATCAAAATCCCCCTACTCTGTTAGAATTCCCCTCCCCTGTCACTGCCAGTGAGGCGGCCACACTGGAAACATAGAATGTGACGGCAGATAAGAACCATTCGGCCCATCTAGTCTGCCCAGACTCTGCTAGCATTTCCTGCTGTTCTATTGTCTGCCTACCTTTAAGATAGAAAAAATAATGCATCTTGGACGTAAAAACCCAAGGGCAGAGTACAGAATATTTGATAGAGTTCTAACCTCAACATATGAGGAAAGGGATTTAGGGGTGATTATTTCTGATGACTTAAAGGTAGGCAGACAATGTAATAGAGCAGCAGGAAATGCTAGCAGAATGCTTGGTTGTATAGGGAGAGGTATTAGCAGTAGAAAGAGGGAAGTGCTCATGCCATTGTACAGAACACTGGTGAGACCTCACTTGGAGTATTGTACACAGTACTGGAGACCGTATCTTCAGAAGGATATTGATACCTTAGAGAGGGTTCAGAGAAGGGCTACTAAACTGGTTCATGGATTGCAGGATAAAACTTACCAGGAAAGGTTAAAGGATCTTAACATGTATAGCTTGGAGGAAAGACGAGACAGGGGGGATATGATAGAAACATTTAAATACATAAAGGGAATCAACACAGTAAAGGAGGAGACTATATTTAAAAGAAGAAAAACTACCACAACAAGAGGACATAATCTTAATTAGAGGGTTTAAAAATAATATCGGTAAATAGAGTTCCAGCGTTCGTCTGTTTGGGACCGGTGTTCGGGAAGTCGAGTGTCCGTAAAACAGTTCCATGCACTCGACGACCAGGACCCGCTGCCTTTGTTCGCATGAACAAAGATGGCCGCGGTTTTCTCTGCCACGTGGCGTTCGACTAACGAACGCTGGCTGCACAGACAGAGGTAGCAATTTCACCTAAACCTTTGATGTTTAATGAGCCAGAGGGTGGTCCTTGTTTGGTAGTTCCATCTACCGAATGCAATAGGCAGAAATTGGGATAAAAAGGGAATGCAAACAGTAAATAACATAGGGAACAGGGGGGTTTCTTCACAATCGGCAGTTATCACTTTAGTAAATAATGCAGACAGTGTGATACAGTAGAAGCAGGTCCAGCTGCTGGGCGTTACTTACAGTTTGATAATGTGCGGGTGACGAAAGAGCTTGAGATTTTGAATTTCACGCTTAATTTTGCCAACAACATCCAAATTCCGAATCTTCTGCCGGTTCAGGATTTTCACGGCCACTTTATGTCCTGTTAGTTGGTGCTCACCCACTGAAATACAAACCGAAATTAAAATCCACCTCACCCTGTTTCCGCGCCACCAATAGGTTAATGAAGTTAACGCGCCACCTCCAGAAGTTCTCTAATCAAAGAAAGATGGCCGACCCATGACTCCCCACTAAATTATATTAATCTTTCCAACACTGTACTTTAATAACTATTTCCCTGTTTTCTATCAGCCATGTGCCCATTGGCAGTGCCCGCTGATGGCAGGTGCTCTGGCTATTAGCAGGAGACACTGCGCATACGGCGGGTACCTACAGTGCAACACACTGCTTCTCTTTCCACCAATCACAGAGCCTGTGAGATCAACGGCACAGGTCTGTGCATTCTGGCAGTGGATACTGCAATGGAAGAAATATTCAGGAAATATTGGAATAAACGGCAGCTCGTTGTGTACGATGGACGCTTTGTACGAACAGAATCTGGGCACTCACAGAGTTAATACACAGCATCATACTATGATACCTCCCCTTACGTAATTCATATTACATTTAGCGGTTTGCTTACCTATGAATATTTATATCTGAATATTGTAATCCCTCATAAATGCTTCCTCGGTTAATGCCTTAGAAGGGCTTATTATTCATTTAAAGAGTAGTGTATTAAACGGACATCCCAGGCACTAGGCTCCCGATATCTGGATATTCTCTTATTATAACATCAAATTAATTAATCAGAAATCACATACACCTTGGGACACTTTATTACCCAACCGAGTGGTACATATTATATTGACTTTACATTTACACACACTGACACCCCCCACAAATACACACACTGACACTCCCCAAACACACACACCCACAAACACACACACTGACACTCCCCACAAATACACATACTGACACTCCCCAAACTTACACATCCACACAAACACACACACACTGACACTCCCCACAAACACACACAATGACACTCCCCATAAATACACACACTGATACTCCCCACAAATACACACACTGACACTCCCTAAACTTACACACCCACACAAACACACACACTGACACCCCCCACAAATACACACACTGACACTCCCCACAAAAACACACACACTGACACTCCCCATAAATACACACACTGACACTCCCCACAAACACACACACTGACACTTCCCAAACATACACCCACACAAACACACACACTGACACTCCCCACAAATACACACACTGACACTCCCCACAAATACACACACACACACTAGACACCCTTCAAACATACACACCCACAAACACACACACACCTGACACCTCCCACAAAGTCACACTGACACCCCCACAAAATGTACACACACACTGACACCCCACAAATACACACACACCATAAATACACACACACTGACACCCCCACAAATACACATACCAAAACTCCCCAAACATACACACACACTGACACCCCCAACACACACACCCTGACACCCACAAACGACACACTGACACCCCCCAAACATACACACACACAGACACCCCCACAAATACACATACTAAAACTCCCCAAAGATACACACACTGACACTCCCCACAATTACACACCTACAAATACACGTATTGACACTCCCCACAAATACACACACTGACACTCCCACAAACGCACACACTGACACTGCCCAAACATATACACACACACTGACACTCCCCACAAACGCACACACTGACACTCCCCAAACATACACACACACACAGACACACCCCAAACACACACACACACACACCCCCACCAAATACACATACTAAACTCACCCAAACACACACCCACAAATACACAGATTAAACTCCTCCAAACATACACACCCAGCACAACAACACACACACACTGACACCCCCCACATATACACACACACTGACACTCCCCACAAACGCACACACTGACACTCCCCAAACATATACACACACACTGACACTCCCCAAACATACACACACACACTCCCCACAAATACACATACTAAAACTACCCAAACATACACACCCACAAATACACACACTGACACTCCCCACAAATGCACACACTAAAACTCCCCAAACATACACACAC